TGGAACAGTTTGGTAAGAGATCTAGGATTGTTGCGATCGTGCAGCCTGTTGGCACCGTCAAGGTCTCTGTGGGGTGCGAAGCGCGGTTAAGATGCGGCCATCTTTAATAGCTGCGTGCATGTCCCCCGGCTTTTTTTAACTACCAAGAATTGTATATGTGGGTTTAGTCTGGCGGAGGGCCCTGTGGATCTATGAAATGAAGACCGTGTCAGGAGCGCTATTAAATCTTAGAATGTGGAGTCTGAGTATCTATGGCAGTGTCACAGTAAACAAGAGGGACTTAGGATTAGGAGCTCCCCTGTAGTCTATGCGACCATCTCCTTGGGCAGATCCTGGCTCGAAGGGATGTCTCCGGTGGTGTGAGAGGCTGGTCCAGAATGGATGTGCAACCGTATGGCCGCCCACGTACTCGACTGGCAGGGTCGGTCAGGAACGGAAAAAAGGGGGGAGGAGCTACACACGGCTGAGGCACCCTGCAGAGCACCCTGAGGCTTGATAAAGAGGTAACCCCTCGAAACGCGTAGCCACTTTTCCGGAGACACCCAACACTCTTGTACCCCTGTGACTGGCGCACGGCGCCACTCAGCCGTGTGTAGCTCCTCCCCCCTTTTTTCCGTTCCTGACCGACCCTGCCAGTCGAGTACGTGGGCGGCCATACGGTTGCACATCCATTCTGGACCAGCCTCTCACACCACCGGAGACATCATCTCTTCGAGCCAGGATCTGCCCAAGGAGATGGTCGCATAGACTAGAGCTCCTAATCGTAAGTCCCTCTTGTTTACTGTGACACTGCCATAGACACTCAGACTCCACATTCTAAGATTTAATAGCGCTCCTGACACTGTCTTCATTTCATGGATCCACTGGGCCCTTCGCCAGACTAAACCCACATATACAATTCTTGGTAGTTGCGCTCCTAAGTTTTTGCTTTTGATTTGTGTATGAGGGAGGAGATGGTGTCGACCTTTCAGTCATTCTTGCAGTCTTTTTTTCCCTCAAAACTTAAACGCAGGTTCCCATTTAAAGAAGAAGATGGTGAAGTTTGGGAGAAATGTCCAAGGGTGGATGCATCCCTTTACAAATTTTCGAAAAATTCAGACTTATCATTTTAAGATATGGGGTTTTTGAAAGACCCGATGACTAAAAAGCCAGAACCTTTACTAAAAAGAGCCTGGGAAGCAACTGGTGCGGGATTCAAACAGGCAATGGCCAAAACTTTGGACATCTGGCTCAGTTGACATCATTTGGATTCAGGTACAGACACGGCCACTATTGTGTACTCCCTGCCTGTGCTGGGTAAGGCAGTGGCGTACATTGCGGATGCTTCCGTTGAAGCTGTTAAATTTTCAGCTCGCACCACTGCTCATCAATTCAGGCAGTCGTGTGGGTAAAAACCTGGCCAGGAGATGTGGCATCAAAAACTAAACTTTGTGGACTCCCGTTCAATGGGAACTGTAGCGCAATTGTCGTTTTTGCGCCCTGGTGCACCGGACGCGTATTTACGTTTATATCTGCGTAAATGTGGGGGAGTTAAACATTTTGGGGGTGGTTTTTTTACATTTTTATAAGTGACTTATTTTTTTTATTTTTTTTTAATTTATATATTTTGTTTTTTGCACTTATTGTTATTGCTATTATATAGGGGGATAACAATCCCCCTATATAATAGCAAAGGCACACTGACAGGTCCTCTTTTTATGGAGACATTAGGGGTCCCTAGGACCCCTAATATCACCTGTGGACCCCAAAAGAAGCTGATGAAGCAGAGTTCTGCTTCATCAGCTTCTTTTCTCTAGCTATAGCAGCCAGATGACTGACAGCTGAATGTGGAAGTGATGTAAGACACATCACTTCTGCATTCACAGCCCGGAGGGAGGTCAGCAAGGAGCTGATCTCCCTTCCTCCTGACGCCCTCCGAGCCGGTCCCGGGCCGCAGATGGGGCAGCGGGGGGGGGGCGTGCCGAAAAAACGAGCACATATAGACGATCGGCGGGCTATGGAGCCGCCGATCGTCTATGTGAAACACCCGGTAACGGGTGTTTGCAATGGTCAGGTATTTTCTGCCCGTGCACGCCCGTGAGCAGAAAAGCCTTCTGGAGACGGCAACCCACCAATGCTGCAGTGCCATCCGTCCGTTAACCACGGGCGGGCGGCAAGTGGTTAAGGGTGTTCCTCCCACAGTGGCAAATGGTGATAAACAACCGTTTTGTTCTGAACTGAGTCGGCAGGGGTTACAGAATAGAATTGTTGAAGATCCCTCCTTCCAAGATTTTTGGTGACTTGCCTCTCTCATTACCCGGATTAGTTCTAGAGATGACGAAGTCTATTCAAGAGCTCCTACATCGGTGGTAATTTGTTCAGTCCCTATATTGAGAGAAAGGGAAGGTTTCTATTCCCATATCTTTCTAAGGAAAAAACATTCAGGGAAATTCAGAGTTATTCTGAATCTCAAGCCATTAAACAAGTTTGTTTGTTACAAGAAGTTCCGGATGGAATCTATATACACAGTCAGGGAGTTATTAACTCCAGGTGTATAAATCTGGCCACGGTGGACTTAAGGGATGCATATTTCCACATCCCTTTTGCAGCGGAAGCTCAAAGATTGTTGAGATTTGCAATCAAGGGTCCCGGAGAGATCTTGCATTTCCAGTACAAAGCTCTGCCTTTCCTCAGAACCAGGGATATTTTACAAAGCTCTTAGCAGAAGCACCAATACCTCTCAGGTTGAAGAATAGGAGTTATCTCATACTTTTATTTAGGGACAGAGAGCTTTCTTTTGGCGGTATTTAATCACCACTGGGGACTTTATTTTTTACTATGTAATAAAAATAGTACCAAAAATTTTGAAAAAAAAAAAAGTTTTCCCTACGTGATTTTATAAAACATTTATTACCCAATTTTTTGGCAAAATATTAAAGACAGGGTCAGGTCGGGTAAATGGACCCCAAACATGTCTAGCTTTAAAAATATGTGCGCCCGCAAAGTCGCAAAAAACGACCATGCCTAAAATTAGCCACTGGCGACGCTTTCAAAGCTTTTACCGCTAATCGGCTTAGTGTTATCTGTCAATAATGGCCCTAAAATTATTGCTTTCACTGCGGCGATATGTATCGCGTGGCGTAATCGTTGTTTTCACACGTAGGCGCAGCCGACGCGTATTTACGTTTTATTAGTGCGGGTGCGAGGGACTTAAAACTTTTTTTTTTTTTTTTACACTTGATTGCCATCACATTGGGGGCTAAAAAAATCCCCCTATGTGATAGCCAAAAAACAATGACCGGTCCTCCTTATGGAGACATCAGAGGTCTTTAAGACCCCTAATGTCACCCTGGGACCCCCAAAGAAGCTGATAAAGCACAGATCTGCTTCGCCTGCTTCTCTTTGGCTATAGCAGCCAGAGAACTGACAGCTAAAGGTGGAAGTGATGTAATATACATCGCTTCCGCCTTTTTAGAGAGAGCGGAGGAGAGATCAGTGGTGGGAAATGCTGATCTTTCCCCTGTTCTCTGTTCAGGCGGGTGCTCTACCAGTCCCGGGCTCGCAGGGGGGACAGCGCAGCCCGTGATAACAGGCAGCAGTGGAGGGGGGACAACCTCATAGCTGTATATAAGCAGTATGAAATCTAAGGTGCTAATTGCTAGTCTCAGACTTGGAGTAAGGTCTTAAGCAATGTAGAGGTAATGATTCTCCTCAGATGGCTCCCCCTGGAATAGTGGCCAAAGGTTGGTTGTCTGCTGTAGAATGTATTTAGTCCAGATTTTATGTTCAGCTTCTTGTATCCTAAAAAGTCAACATGTTTGGTTTGCACTTTACATGACTAACAAATTTGACGCCTAACTCCAGCTATCACTTGAAGTATTTGCAATTTTTTTTATTTTTATTACCTTTTGGAAAAAAGGTTTTAACTATATGAACAACACCCCATTGGCGTTAAGACTTGTCTCAACTTTCTAACTGCCACTTTTGCTGGATAGCTTGGTCTGCTAAATTAAGTTGATAAATTAAAAGAGAACTATGGGGTAACCTTTTTATCCCATAGTTCTCTAGGGTCACGGTTGGACATATACCAACGCCCTCCCGTTACCCAAAGCTCACTATATAACAGGCTATTGCCCACAATCTACTCAGACTGCCGCAGCCAGGACAGATAACAGCAATACTGTTGAGATCCTCCCAGCTGGCTGACAGCGGGCTCTGCCTATCTAGATGCAGAGCTAGCTGTGTCCCTGTTCTATCAAAGTTTGTGACTGTGTTAATGTGTGACCGGTGAAGTGGTCACACATTTTAACCTAATGACGCCCACTTTTTCGGCAGTGGAATGTGTGTCCGGCAAAAAGTGAAGAATTCCAACGCTTTCTCAGATGTTCCAGGGCAGATCAGCATCTCAGATGGTATGTGCAGGAGAACCGATCTGCCCTGAAACAGCTGAACGGTCCTGAAATTTCACTTCTATCCGACTTTGTGAGTGCTATCTTACATGGAGAACAAAAGTAGCCACCCTCCAGAAGGAAGGACAGTGTTGGCATGAATTCAGCTATTTGGGGATCCACAGCTAAGTGATACACAAATAAGCTACATTTTTGTTAGTAGTTGGGGAACTAAAGCATTATTAAGATTTAACTGCTAAGTTTTTAGTGTCATTGTAAGAAAGTCTTCACAGGCAAAATAATTTTGACTTCTATTGCCTCTTGTTTACCTGAATACCAGGACTTATACACGCAGGGGTTCTGGACAGTGTGTTAGTCTCAATAGCCATGTAATCAATACAATTAGTGCATATACCTGTATAGCCACGGCTTCAGCCAGCCTGCCATTGATTTTACAGGCTGGCTAACACGCTGCTGTGCACTTGTCACTCCCGGCTGGAGAAATATGCAGAGATGTATGCTGTACAGCCCTGTTGTGGCTGTGTGCAGGAAGCCTTTTAGTATATGCTTTGCCTTTATGTCATAGTGACTAGTTCAAATCGGTTATTCCCTAACTTAAAATTGTCTTTTCAGAACGGGAGACTGGTTCACCCCCAAGAGGGCCAGCGGAAAAAATATACAGATATACACACCTCTCAGGTGAGAAGTAGTTTTGGGGTTGTATTTTTGGGTATAAAATACTGTAGGAGTAATTTATCAAAATTGGGGCAGACAATCTGGAGCAGCTGCCCATGGCAACCAATTGGCTTCTTACTTCTGCTTATTTAGTTATGCTTTGAAAATGAGAGAGAAGCTGTTTGGTTGTCATGCACATCTGCACCATATTCTGTCTGCTCCAGTTTTTTAAATAAATGCCCCAGGGTGTGTGTGTATGGGATGCACCGATACCACTTTTTAAAGTACGAGTACCGATACTTTTGATCAAGTACTCGCAGATACCAATTACCGATACTTTTTCTTAAAGGGACAGGTCACATTTTTTCTAAAGCAATGCAAACTAATGCTTTAAGTATGCGAGGAATCTGACACCATGCCTGATGAATAGCACTGTCCAGTTCTGTGAGATTTGATGGTTGTGGAACCAGCTGCCTGATCGCTCTTTCAACTTCGTCCCACAAATACTCAATTGGATTGGGATCTGGTGATTGTGGGGGCCCTAAGCAAGGTATAGTCTCCCTCATGTTCTTGAAATCACTCCTGCACAATACGAGCACTGTGGCATGGCACATTGTCATGTTGGAAGAAGCCATCTCCATTGGGATACGCCATCAACATGATAGGATGAACTTGATCAGCAACGATACTTTGGTATGTTGTGCTATTCAGACGTTGTTCCACACGAATTAAAGGGCCCAAATCATGCCAGGAAAACATGCCCCAGACCATAACACTGCCCCCACCAGCTTGAAGGGTTGTACTCATGCATGTGGGGGTGCATGCTTTCATGCTGTTTCCACCAAATTGGCACGTTTGTCACACTTTAATATTTCAGATCATCAAACTAATTTAAGTATTAGTCAAAGATAACACAAGTAAACACAACATGCAGTTTTTAAAGGAAGGTTTTTATTAAGGGAAAACAGAATCCAAATGGGAGGCGCTCACAATTCTGCCCTGCTAACATGAATAGGTTAAATCATGATCCATAGTACATATACAGCACATATTTATGTGTCGCTCTCTCGCCAAAAATATTGGCACCCCTACATTTCTGTCAGATAATGCACCACTTTGCGCAGAAAATTGTTGCAATTTCAAATGTTTAGGCATTTGCATGTTTATTTCTTTTGTTTTATATTGGTATGACACAAAAAAGTGAAGGAAAAAAAGCCATATCTCACACACCCCACGCAAAACTCCAAAAACGGACTGGACAACATTATTGGCACCTTCTCTGAATTGCAAGAAATAATTGCATTCCATGTTTTTGTGGAAAAGCATGGACAATCTCAAGGTTACAAGTCCATCTCCAGAGATCTTCATGTTCCTGTGTCCGCTGTGCGCAACATTGTCAAGAAGTTTGCAGCCCATGGCACTGTAACTAATCTCCCTGGACGAAAGAACAATTGATCAAAGATTGCAACAAAGGATTGTTCGAATGGTGGATAAAGACCCTCGATCAACTTCCAGCCAAATTCAAGTTGACCTTCAGGCACAGGGTTCAACTCTCGGCTCGCACTATACGTCGCCATCTGAATGAAAAGGGACGCTATAGAAGAAGACTCAGGAGGACCCCACTGCTGACACAGAAACAAAATTACAGCTTTTTGATAAAACCCATCCAACTGTTTTCAGAAAAAGAAATTGGGCATTTTCAAGAAAAAAATAATGTCCCTGCAGTCAAACATGGTGGAGGTTCACTGATGTTTTAGGATTGCTTTGCTGCTTCAGGCCCTGGGTGCCTTGACTGTGTGCCTGTCATTATGAAATCTGAAGACTACCAAATAATTTTGGGGTGAAATGTAGGGCCCAGTGTCGACGTTGGGTCTCTTGTCAGAGGTCATGGGTCTTGCAGATAATGAATGACCCAAAGCACATGTCAAAAAGCACCCACAAATGGTTTCAGACAAAGCACTGAAGAGTACTGGACTGGCCAGCAGTGAGTCCAGATCTAAATCCCATGGAGCACCTGTGGTGTCTCCTTTTAATGGTTACAGGAAGCGATTGATTTCAGTATTTTTTTCCAAGGGCTGTGCTACCAAATATTAAGGGTGGCAATTTTGTTCAGTCCATTTTTTTTAGTTTTGTGTGGAATGTGCCAGATTTGGCTTTTTTTTTCTCTCCACTTTTTTGTGTCCTACTAATACAAACAAAAGAGATAAACATGAGAATGCCTAAACATTTGTAATTGCAAAAAACGAAAATGTGTTGCTATTCTAACTTTTTAAAATATTTTACTTTTTTTAACCTCCCCTGGCGGTATGATTTTATTTTTTTTTGTGTGTCATTTTTCGTTCTATTTTTGTTTCAAATTTTTTTCGTTTTTGTCGTTTTTAAAAAAAATTTCCCGCCTCTTCCGCCCCCCTGCGACGCGTATGCTCCCAAGAAACGGAACCCGGAAGACGGATGCCGGCATCGGCCGGAGAACACAGCGCGGCTCGAGGGACAAGGTAAGTAAATGCTATGCCGCATTCCCGAGTGCAGCTCGGGGTTACCGCTTATGGTTAACTTTTTTTTTTATTAAATAATTTTAATTTTTACTTTTAGGGGCTTGGGGGAAATATTAGGGGTCTAAACAGACCCCCTGATATTTCCCTTTTAAAATAGAAAAAGAGATTGAGGACACAGTCACACACATAGAGGGGGGTGTGTGTGTCAGACCTCAGCCTCCTGATCTGTGACAGGAGGCTGAGCAGTGCGCGGAGGAGAGATGCCGGCCGCTCACATCGCTCTCCTCCCGCACAGCTTGGCCTCCTGTGACAGTTTCTCTCCTCCATGCTGGGACACAGCAGCGACTAACTGGGAGGAGAGACATCACAGATGCACCGCTATTTCGCATAGAGATTATATCTATATAGATCTATAGATATAGATCTACATAGATATATATATATATATAGTGTATTTATTGTAGTTAGATAGTATTTGAGGTTGAATAAAGACACGGGTCCATCAAGTTAAATATAATTATTTTTTTTAAATTAGGATCATTCACCTGTTTACTCTCCGACAAGGATGGATACTCACAGTCATCCTCTTGATGAGACTTACCCACCAGATGGTGATCCATCCTACTTGTCATACACGATGCCTGATGATCCCCGACTCAATGATATCACAGTAAGTGTCTCAGTGCAAGAAAAGCAAAGTTTTGGCTTCTGTGACCCTAACAGCCAAATTTCTTTACAGTATTAACTCTTCTCTTTTCTAGTTAAAACCCTCTGTGGGGTACTCGCAGACGTTAGATCGACCTTACCGGGACGTTAGTGGCGGAGTTGGTACCTACACCACTGTGCCCCGCAATTACCATTTTCGTGGACCTGGTACAGAACCAATGCAAATGGTTCAGCCTCAACAGCATCCTGGCTACAGCAGCTTGTCCAGACCAAATAACCGCTACCGTACCGTTGAGTCCTATAGGGGTCCTGGTTATGGCGCTCAGCCCCAAGTCAGAGGTGCTGGGTTTGGAGGCAGTCAGTCTGATCTGCTTTCAGTCAGGTATGCATCTGAGGATACTTATGGACTGGAAGATGATCGTAGGAGCCTTGGAGGCTATGTGGATGGGCCAGATTATTCCACTGGTGGGCGGAGGGGCCCCAGTGCAACAGACCCACGTAGACGATTAAGGTTAGTTGTTTTTTCTCTTGTGCAAACATGGCCTGCTATGACTTGAGAGAGGAAAATGACCATGGGTGCTAGTCAGTTAAAGCCCAGTTAAAGTTCACTATTGCTTTGGTTATATTGGTTGTGCAAAGCTCTTGCCTTGCTCTAGTTCTGACTGAGCAGGAGACATGTAAGACTGCCGCAGAGAGACCACTGCTCTCACACAGAGTGCAGTGGTCCTTTAGTGCTGCCTGATCCATGGAATTTTGACAAGTAATGGGAAACAATTCAAAGCATAACAGTAAAACATTTGCTATTACTCTTTTTGCAGCACAATTTATACATTTAAAACAGATCTGTACATAATGTCAGACTTCTTAGTCATTTTAAACATTTAAAGGTATCTTTTTGTTCAGGTCAAAAAAAGGTTTCTTTTTCTGATTGAATGTATAAAAATATTGCACATGAATATCTCAATTAATCGATGATGAGAATAGTTCACTATTTCCATTATTAATTAGCTGGTTGGATCCTCTAGATCTCTCCTCCACGCTGAGAGGAAGGCACAGCAAGCAGTGGGCGAGCGCAATAGCTAGCGTTCTATTGCAATTTGAAATGGCCAATAGTCAGCTGGCTATTGCATCAGCCTGCTTACATTCAGCTGCTGTCTGTGTGTGTGTGTATATGTACACACACATCTTGTCTACTGGACAATATA